GTGATGCTTCCCGTCCCCCTCCCACTGCGGCACATCTGCCCTGTTCACTGACCCATCCCAGGAGCTGGTGGGGTGGGCCTCAGACCTCAGCACTTGGCACATGCATGCCATCCCACGTGGCCCTGAAACGGCTGTCTGCTTGCATGGCTGGAGTGCAGAGAAGTAGCTGTGTGAGCAAAAGCCAAGAGGACTGCTTAGCCCACGGTACCGTCTCCCCTGAGGTCATGGGCTTAGAATCCTCAATGATGTGGAAAACAATTAGGAAATAACTTTAGAAGGTTATAGAAGCCACTGTCTTTGTTTTGTGTTGCTGAGTAATATATAAAGAAAAAGGTTTATTTGGCTCACAATTCTGATGGCTGAAAAGTTCAAGATTTGGGCATCCGACCTGCAGGCTGCTTCTACGCATGGCGGAAGGCAAAGATCTCACGGCAAGAGAGGAAGCACGGGAGAGCGGGAGGCGCTAGGCTCTTTTAAGCAGCCGGCTCTCATGGGGACTAGTGGAGCGAGAGAACTCACCCCTGAAAGAAGGCATTCATCTATTCCTGAGGAACCTGCCCTGTAACCCAAACACCTCCTTCACTGGGGATCAAATCAAATTTCAACTTGAGGTTCAGAGGTGACGAACATCCAAACCATAGCAGCCACCAACATCCACGTCGCCAAATCCATGCCTTAAGCTCATGACACGTGCTTAAGCTCTCACCCCAAATGTGTTTACTCTTAGTTCACACGTGCTAGTAACAGTTTGCAGTCTCTCAATTTCTTTTTTAATAGCAACTTTTCTTTTTTTATAACGACTTTATGGAGCTATACTTCACATACCATACAATTCAGCCATTTCGAGTATATAATTCAATGGCTCTTAGTATATTCGGCATTGTGCAGCCATCACCACAATCAATTTTACAATATTTTCCTTAACCCAAAAAGAAACCCTGTACCAGTGAGCAGTCACTCCCCTTTGTCCCCCATTCCCTGGCAACCACTAATCTACTTTCTGGCTCTTGGATTTGCTTATTCTACTGTTGCATTAAAATGTGGTTATATAACATGTGGCCTTTTGCAACTGGCTTCTTTCACTTAACATAATACTTTCAGGGTTCATCCATGTGGGAGCGTGTATCAGTACGTAGTTTCTTTTCATGGCCGAATCTTACCCCATTGCATGGATGTGCCATGTTTTGTTTAAGCATTCGGCAGTCGATAGATATTTGGGCTGTGTCTACTTTGGGGGTATTATAAATAATGCTACTGTGAACATTGGTGTAAATGTTTTTGTGTGGCTATATGTTTCCATTTTTCTTATATACCTAGGAGTGAGATTGCTGGGTCATACTGAAACTGTTTAACCTTTGGAGGGACTGCCAGGCTCTTTTCCACACTGGCTGCATCATTTTACAATTCTACCAGCAGTGTGAGCGATTCTCCACATCCTCACCAACACTTGTTATTATCTGTCTTTTAAAAAAATTATTATTATAGCCTCATAGTAAGTGTAAAGTGGTATCTCCTTGTGGCTTTAATTTGCATTTCCTTGGGGGCTAATGATGTGGAACATCTTTTCATGTGCTTAGTGGCCATTTGTGTATCCTCTTTGAAGAAATGTCTATTCAAATCTTTTGCCCATTTTTATATAGTTCATTTGTCTTTTTAAATATTAAGTTGTAAGAGTTTTTATTTATTCTTTTTTAAGGGCAGGGTCTCTCTCACCTGGAGTGCAGTGTTTTGATAATAGCTCACTGCAGCCTCACACTCCTGGGCTCAAGCAACTCTCCTGCCTCAGCTTCCCTAGTAGCTCGGACTACAAGAACTCACCACCACACTCAGCTAATTTCTATTTTTGTAGAGACAGGGTCTTGATATGTTGTTCAGGCTGTTCTCAAACTCCTGGACTGAAGCCATCCTCCTGCCTTGGCCTCCCAAAGAGCTAGGATTGCAGGCATAGGCCACTAGCCCGGCCCATCTCTACACTTTTTACATTTCGTAAAGAGTTCTGCGGGAGAATCTGTGTTTTCATTATGGCTGGCTGCAGAGTGCCACGCTGGCCTCTGTCGGTTGCCCTGGCACCCCTGCCCACGCCTGACCCCACAGAGACCCCCGTGGCCAAGGCCTGCCCTGGCCCCTCGTATCTGGAGGGTGGTCGGCTGCCCACAGAGAAGAGCCCATGGGGTTGTGGCCGTCATGACTGTCCACCACGTGTGGCCTGCTCAAGAGCAGGCAGCAGCTGGCAGGCAGGTCGGCGGGCCTGGCGTGGCTCCCAGCCATAAACAGAACCCACACTGTGGCCCTGCCGGGAAGTAGGAGGGGACAGGTGAGCCTGGGCAGAGACCCAGAGGCCACAGAGACACGGGAGCCTCTGTGGTGTTTTGTGCACAGCTTGGGAGGGGAGGTGGCAGGTCTGTGTGCCGACAACCTCGGCCCACAGACTGCAACCTGATCCCCTCCCGCTCCCTCATCGGGTCTATTAATAGGTCCCGCAGGGAGCCGGGGCCCAGACAGGGTTAGCGACACCCTCACCTTCACGCCACGTGGACAGGCAACAGGGGCTTCCGCGGCACCTCTGGGACTTCCATGACTTGTACCACCTGTCCTGCCCCAGCCCCACCACCATTAGGCCAGCAGCAGCCTGCGCTAGGCAGCGGGAGGGCAGAGAGTTTCATGCAGCCACTGCCCGGGAAGAACTTAGAGGAGACACACACACACACGCACACACACATGCACGCACACGCGCACACACACACACACACGCGCGCGCACACACACACACACGCACACACACGCGCGCGCACACACACACACCCCTCAGCAAGGATGGCTCTGAGCTCCAAACCCACCAACCCATTTCACCCTCACAGCAACGAACGCTTAGAGAGGTGTCCTCAGTGTCCTCGTTTTGAAGGTGAGGGAACCAGACATTCCGGGGAGAAGTCGAGTCTGGCATGAGCTGGGCCGGGGTCCTGGCGGGCGCCCGCGTGTCTGTGCAGGTGTGGCCTCCGTCTGTGGACGCAGGAAGCACGGCCCCCGCAAAAACGACCCTCGGTGGCTCAGTGCGGCCTGTCCCCGCGATGCTGGGGGAGCGCCCGGCAATGTGTCGGAGCCACTTTAAAGGTGTTCGAGAGGTGAAGGGGTTTCCTGCACGGTGGGGGGGGCAGGACAGGAAGGTGTGTCCCCGACTCTCAGGAGGGACGGCAGTCAGTGCACCCCTTCCACGCCGACCTCTGCCCCCGCTGGTGCAGGCCCAGCCCCCCGCTCTCCAGACGGCTTGCTGCCCTCGGTCTGGGCAGTGGGACTCTGAGTGAAGTCAGACTGTAGAGGCAGACAGACCGACTGCCAGCTCCTCCTTCCCTCACCCATCTGCGCCACCCGGAGCAAGCTCCTCAACCTCTTGGAGCCTCGGTTTCCTCCTCTTTAAACTGAGGGTGATAACAGTGTCTAATGCATGGGGTCCTCGTGAGGACCAGGGGACCATCGCTCCAGAAAAGGCCGGAAAACAGTGCCCAGTGCAGGGCAGGCATCCCATAAATAGGAGCTTCTGTTGCCTTGTAAAAGGCCCATGCCACAGTTTCTAAGACCGTTTAGGGCTGCATTGTGTGTCATCTGAGAGCAGGGATGTGATCTCCATTGACAAAGGTGGGAGGTGGGGTCCAGAGAGGCACAGGGGCTTGTCTGAGGACACACAGCTAGTTCATGGCAGAGCCAGGCCACAGTCTCCTGCCCCCCTGTCCATGCTGGCATTAGATCCTGTATGCGCCCCTTACCTGCCGCTAAGAGGGTCAGGGGAGTGCGGTGGAAAAGCAGGAAGAGGCAGACCCCCATGTGGGGCGTTTCTCGCCATCCCTGCTGCTCCCCCGGTTCCAGGCAGGGCTTCTTAACCCCTGTGGTCCCATAGGCTGGTGAAGTCTGTGGGCTTCTGCCCAGAATAATGCTCTCACGCACATAAAATAAAATAACCTGGGGTTAGAAAGGAAACATATCATGATGAAGCAGTTAAACATTTTGTTAAAAGGTGTACAGTAGCAACATGTATGCTTCTTTACCAGTACCTTAAATAACAAGATCTACTAGCAGGTCTAATACCACCATAATTTCAAATTAGTGATGAGTTTAAATAGTGCTAGGAGAACTTGTTTACAATTAAATTTGTGATGTGACGTTGGTCAGTATTGATGAAAAACTCTGTTGCTTACCTTCATATTTAAAGGAAATGGTAAATTTCATTTAGAAGTTGGTGACAAAATATAATTTTTCCCATCCAAGTTTACTGTAGACTCCTGGCCCAAGTCTAGGGTCTCCTCCATGTCCACTCATGTCTCGGGCTCAGCAAAGGAGATGCCAGGGCACCCTCCCTGCCCCAGGGCCCCATTTACTGCCATGTCTCCCAGTCCTAGCCTTGGAGAAGAGGGCATCAGGGTTCATTCCTATTATACATTCATTCGGCGAGCACTGAGCACCTTTGTGCCAGGCCCCAAGACAAAACATGAGGTCCCAAGTCAGGTAAGATGAGGTGCCTGCCTCCAGCTGTTCCTCACGTCCTTCAGGGAGAGTGTGAGCAGAACTGTTCCAAAATGCAAAATGCAGCAAGCACGGGAACACGCTCACTCTTCCCGTGATGCTGAGGTCAAATGATCACTCTTGGCTAGTGACATCGTCCTTCGCATAATCCTTCTGAAAAGCAATGTGGCACCGTATAGCCTTGGTCATGGAAATCCCACAGCCTTCTTTCCCATGCCCAGGCTGCCAGTTTGTCCCGAAGAAATAATTCGGCAGGAAAGACCAAGGGTGGAGGGCAGAAGTCCTTCTCTCTCCTCGTCCTGAGTCCGCGCCCTCCTCAGGGCAGGGGCTGGGGCTCGCTCAGCTTACCCCCGGTGCTGGCCCGTGGTAGCACTCAGGGAACACCTGCTGGGTGAATGCCTGACTGCCGTGCAGTTACGATGGACGAGAGGAGGGAGGTGGCAGGAAGGGAGCCCTCCAGTGACCAGGTGCCTGTCTTCTTGCAGCCACCAAAATGTCAGGAGAGATGGACAAGCCGCTGATCGGCCGTCACCTGGACAGCGATGGCAGCCTTGCCGAGGCCCCCAGTGGGGCCCCCAAAGTGGGCATCCTGGGGAGCGGGGACTTTGCCCGCTCCCTGGCCACACGCCTGGTGGGCTCTGGCTTCAACGTGGTGGTGGGGAGCCGCAACCCCAAACGCTCAGCTGGGCTGTTCCCCTCGGCGGCCCAGGTGACTTTCCAGGTGGATGCAGTGAGCTCCCCAGAGGTCATCTTCGTGGCCGTGTTCCGGGAGCACTACTCTTCGCTGTGCCGTCTCAGCGAGCAGCTAGCCGGCAAGATCCTGGTGGACGTGAGCAACCCCACGGAGCAAGAGCACCTTCGGCACCGCGAGTCCAACGCCGAGTACCTGGCCTCCCTCTTCCCCACCTGCACCGTGGTTAAGGCCTTCAATGTCATCTCTGCCTGGACCCTGCAGGCTGGCCCGAGGGATGGGAACAGGCAGGTAGGTTCTGGCGGAATAACATCCATCATAACAATATATATAAATGGCTAATTTTTCTTGCGGGCTTTCAGTATGCCAGGTCTTTTTTCATACATTATTGCCACCAATGTCACATCACTGCAAAATTTCATTTAGCAGAGCAGGAAACTGAGGCTCAGGGATGTGAATGATTTTACTTACTCAGAATCCTACAGCTGGTGAGCTGGGATATGAACCCACTTCATATGAATCTGAAACCCAGGTCCTTTCTGCTATGGTTTCAAAAGCACCTACGCCAAGTGCCGGTGGGGGCTGCCTAGATGGGCATTTTGCCTGCGGCTGCTGATGTCAGTGAGCCGGGCAAGGCACTTGCTAGTAGCAGTTTCTCTCCATGAGTAGTGGCCCTAGCCAGGCCAGAGGCTGGGGGCCCAGGTGGCAGAGGGAAGACCCCTGGCCCAGGAGGCAGGACCCCTTTGCTCCCAACTGCACCATTAACTGGAAGCTCACTTCGACAAGTCCCTGTCCCTCTGAGCCTCAGTTTCCTTAGCTGCTCAGTGAGGAGTTTGGCCCAGATGCTCACTGAGGCCCTGCCCACTCCAGAGGCCTGTGACCCCGTCTGACTGCCCGCTTCCTGCCCACAGGTGCCCATCTGTGGCGACCAGCCAGAAGCCAAGCGTGCTGTCTCTGAGATGGTGCACGCCATGGGCTTCATGCCCGTGGACATGGGGTCCCTGGCCTCCTCCCGGGAAGTGGAGGCCATTCCCCTGCGCCTCCTCCCGGGCTGGAAGGTGCCCACCCTCCTGGCCCTGGGGCTCTTCGTCTGCTTCTATGCCTACAACTTCATCCGGGACGTGCTGCAGCCCTACGTGCAGGAAAGGAAGAACAAGTTCTACAAGCTGCCGGTGTCCGTGGTCAACACCACGCTGCCGTGCGTGGCCTACGTGCTGCTGTCGCTGGTGTACTTGCCCGGTGTGCTGGCAGCCGCCCTGCAGCTGCGGCGGGGCACCAAGTACCGCCGCTTCCCCGACTGGCTGGACCACTGGCTGCAGCACCGCAAGCAGATCGGGCTGCTCAGCTTCTTCTGCGCCGCCCTGCACGCGCTCTACAGCTTCTGCCTGCCGCTGCGCCGCTCCCACCGCTACGACCTGGTCAACCTGGCCGTCAAGCAGGTACCGCCCCGTGCCCACCCCGGCGCTCCCTGCCCCGCACAGCATGTCCCTGCGGGCGCCCCCAGTGAGCCAGGTGCGGCTGGAACCCGCGGGTACGGCCGCACCAGGTGCCAACTGCGGATTCTGTTCCTTTCGGGCAGCACCCACATCCTGCTGTCCAAGAGTTTGGGTATCAGTGAAGAAAGCAGATGAAAATCCCTCCCCTCGTGGGCACGGCCCAGGTGGGGCGGACTTAAAATAAGCAGTGAGTCGTAGCAGGCCGTTAGGAAGTCGTGAGTGCTAAGGCACAAAGGAAAGCAGGGGAGGGCAGTGGGGGTGCAGTTTTAGAGACGATCAGGGGAGGCTCGCCGAGTGGACGCTACGTGAGCAGAGGTGGGAAGAAGGGGAGAGTGGGCCGGGTAGCCAGTGGGGGTGTTGCAGGCCCAGGGGGAAGTGAGAGCTGAGTCCTGGGGAGGGGGCATGCCTGCGTGTTGGAGGAGCAGCCAGGAGGCCCCCGAGGCTAGATCCCACAAGGGGGTGGCAGAAGAGGCCTGAAAGGTCACAGCCAGACCAGAGGGTCTTGAAGGCTGAGGAAGGGCTTTGACCTGGGGCTCTGCATGAAATAAGGAGCCAAAGAGTGATGGTTTTGAGTTGAGGAGTGACGACCCACCTGATATTTTACCTGGCTCACTCTGGCTGCTGGGCTGAGAATAGGCAACCGGGTCCAGAGGCAGCTGGGCTCCTGGGAGCCCGAGGAGGCCGTGCACGCCAGATGCCAGGCAGCGAGGCTGGGAGGGGGCTGGAACAGCAGAGGGGCAGGGCGGCCCTGGAGGACACAGTGGTGCTGATGTAGTGGGCCTGGGGTGTGGGGTGATCAAGGACGACTCTGGGGTTTTGGTCTGAGCATCTGGAAGCATAGAGCTGCCATCAGCTGAGACAGGGAAGGCTGCAGGCATGACGGTTTTGGGGTTTAGGAATTTTTACTTGGGGGTGTGGTATTATTCATCTAGAAAACCCAAATGGTGCTCCTTTGCCAGCAGGATTCCTGGAAACTGGAGAGCCTTCAGGCCAGGCCACATAGGGACATGGGTGGCATCAGCTGGCACCTGTACCCATAGAAACAGGCTCCCGATGCTCCATCCTGGTCCACAAAATCCCCTGGCTTGATTGCAGGTGAGCAGACCTGCTAGTCCCAAGCCAACGTCTGCAAACAACACTGCCTTTCTCTTTTTTCTCCAACTTACTCCACCTCCAGGCCCAGCCCCTGGGCTGGTTGGTGCGTGGATGAGGCCTGACCACTCCAGGACACTAGTTACCCCATGGGGTTTGGCCCAGGTGCCAGTGAGACACTTCTCATCCACCCCTTGTTCCAGCCTACATGGCCCCTGTGGCTCTTGCTCCTGCTCAGGGTGCTGGGGCCTGGTGGTCCCCTTGGTGGGCACACCGACCATAGGGCCTCTGTGCCTCAGAGGATGGGGGACCAGGAGGCCTGGGAGTGAGGCTGGGTGGCTCCTGGGAACAGATGCCCCCCCCCCACTCACTCTCGGGGCTTCTCCTTCCCTGCTGGCAGCTTCCCAGCTGCCCTCGTCCTTCCCCACCCACAGACACCTGGCATCATCGTATCTGTGGGCTCAGACTCTCATAAGAGAAAGGAGGAATCCCAGACTTCAGGCAGAGAAGCAAGATGCCTGATGGAATTGAGAGGAAGGGAAAAAATAATAGTTACGAACCTTTAAAAAGGCCTTGCTGTATACCAGCTACCATTCTAAGAGCTTCCTATACCTACTATGGATTCATGTAACCTCTGTCTCATCCCTGTAAGGCAAATGCTGGTCTACCCTCATTTTACAGATGAGAAAACTGAGGCACAGAGAGGTTAAGTAATTTGACCAAAATTACACAGCCAATAAGTGGCAGAGCTGGGATTCAGATCCAGCTGATACCTCCACTACTTTCTACTGGGAAAACAAATGCAAATTAACCATTGAATCAATGATTTCAGAACTCAGATCATTCATTCACTTAGCACTTAGTGTGCCAGGCCCTGGGGCCACAGAGCCCACCCTTGTCCCTTGCCTCAGCTGGTGTGGGGGGAGCAGAGGCCTGAAGGCCAGAGCTCTGGACTCCTGTTCGCCAGCATCACTGCTTAGGACAAAGACCTTGACTTTGAGAAAGTTGCAGCCCCTGTTTTGTCCTCAGGGCCCTGATGTGTAGATCAAGTTCTCTCCTAGTGCCAATACATTTTAGCATGAAATGAAGTTTATTGAGGAAGGCCAAGATAGATTTACAGAGCGAGAGCAAGGTATGTTCACCACAGGTGACAGACGGGCCCCCCTGCCGTAACAAAAGGGCCTAGTGCTAATATTTTTAATGCTGTTTGATATTTTCTTACTCACTTCTAAAAAGAGTCAACCCCCTCAGCAGGAGGCTCTGAGAGGCTCTTTGGGGACTGGCACAACGTTTGCTGCCCAGGCGGTGGCAGATCTGGGTGCATGGGAGCCCTGTCCTTCGAGCTGGCAGGTGTTTCAGGCAGGGGTGAAGAGGAAGGTAACGCCCCTGCCCCCGGAGCACAAGGCATGACCACTGCTCCCTCCCTCCGCTGCCGTGGCCCTCCCAGGTCCTTTGTCTAAATTCCCTGCCTTGCCAGGCTCTCCTTGATGTTGTGTTAACCCAGCCTTGCCTTGATGCAAATACCAGGGCACTGAGGGGCTCATGAGAGGAACTTCTCCCCCACATTCCAAAGTCCCCCAGGGCTGTGGCCTTGGCACGGTTGCCAGGCAACCATTCCACCCGCAGGACCCGGTTGCTCTCAGAGACACCCAAGGCCTCTCAGGCAAAGGGGCTTAAACTTGTCCCGCTGAGTTCTCAAGGGCAGAGCCAGGGCTGCTGTGGGTGGCCTGGGGATGGTCTGAGGGAGGCAGGGCTTCACAGAGTGGCCCCGGAGTGGGGAGCTGCCCGAGCCTGGAGAAGGTGGGGCAGCCATGCCCTCGGGTCCCGAGCCTGGCACGGAGGCTGTTCTGCATTCAGTTCCTGGCCGGGCCTCCCGGGGCCGCCCCTGCCTGCGGCGTGACTTGCCCTGCCTGCCCACGGGCACCTCGCCACAGCTCCCACACGGCCACTGCCCACTCCAGCTGCCCGTGGGGCCCTGTGGCAAAGGGAGAGTGCCGGCCTGGGCACAGGGAACGCCTTCTCCAAGCTCTCCCTAGAGCCCCCGAGTCCACAGATTTGGAAGCAAAGCTGGATCCCCGCTGTAGAGAAAACCGTTGAGATGGTGTTTATTGACAGTATTATTACCAACGATAGCTGGTATTTGCATAGCGCTTTCTGACTTGCTTGTGCGTTTCCCCAGAGATGCATTTCAAGATCAAAATCAAAGATCAAGATCAAAGATGATGTTTAACCTGCACACTGTTTTCCTGTTTCCCTCACCTCAGACTAAATGGGCACATGGCTGTCAAAGAACAGCCTAAAACTCTCACCAGGCCATGCCACTGCTGAAAAGTGTTCGGTGACTCCCCACTGTCCTTGGGATAATGGCAGACCCCTCAGGATGTGTCCACACTCCCTTTCCAGCCTCCTCTCCCCTACTTCTCCTGGGACATGTCACACTTGGGTCCCATATTGTCCTCTAAATGGGCAGAGCTCATTCCCCTTGGCCCAGAATACCCATCCTGGGACATCTTGACAGCCTGGCACACTCCTTTTCCTCCTTCAAAAGCCTACCGCTGTTAAGCTCCCCCAGCCTATCCGCCCACTGACTCATACCCACCTCTGTCGTCTGTTCCATTTTGTACACACTCCTATTATTTTTCTTATATGCCACTTCGTACCCAGCTCAAAGTTCCACAACTGGGTCTTCCATACCCTCAGGTCCAGGGTTCCTAACACAGATTGCACGTTCACTCAGTGACTGGTTGTTAAATTGGCCACAATACCAAGCATCTCTTAAGAAGAGTACACTTAGAGCTTGTGCAAGAACTAATCTAACTGCCCAGTTGCCACTAAGAACAACAGCACCAGTCGTTTATTATATTAGGCACCTACTGTGTGCCAGTCACATGCTACTCGCTTCACCTACATCTTCGTTTTAGTCCTGCAGTAACACAGCAAGAGAGAGACAGCGACGCTATTGGCAGGGAAAGGGACTGCCCAGGGTCTCAGGACTGCCCCCCAGTGGCAGAGTCAACGTTAGAATCCAAGACCTGGGGGACTCCAGTGGGGTCTCCCCACCGCCCACCCAGGCAGCCCCTTCCACACCCTGCTGCTGCCTCCTCCTCCGGGTCTGGCAGGCAATGGGTGGGCAGCACTCTCTTCCCACCCCCTGCCCGCCATGGGGCAGGGAGAAGGGCCGCCGCTGCAGCCTCACTGGTCCTCCAACATCTAACCCTAAAGGGAAATCCCGCACCTGAACGCCATCTTTCCTTCTCTTGTTGGCGACCACTCCCTCGGCGTTCTCCAGGTGGCTGATTTGGTTCGCTCTAGACATGGGAGAACCACTAGGGGAACGGAGAGCTGTCACGGCTCCCTTCCGTGAGCTGTGTGCGGCACGGGGCTGCGGGCGTTCTGAGGGCAGTGCTGTGGCAGGTTGGGGGAGACTGTCACGGGCTGTTTGTGGTGGCCGGGGTCCGGGTCCTCGTGCAGGTCCTCACGAGCCACTGCTCCCTCACCTACCTCATCCCTCCCTTCCCAGCCTCATGCAGAGTGGAAATATTAGAGGAAAAACACAAGACATTTCGCAAGCAAATGTGGTATACGTGTGTAATCATCCAGCTCTGACTTGTGACATTAACTGCCTGATCTTACCAGAACGCAGAGAGGAATGACTAATGGAGTATAGTCGAAGAACAAACAACTTGCAAAGAGGAGATGACTTATTCAGCAGCAGTTGTTGACACTGTGAGGTGTGAGTAAGACTTCTCCGGGCAGAGTGACGGAGGAGGTCTCTCTGTCCCTGCACGCCTCCCTAGCTAACACTGACCCCAGCCCAGCCCGCCACGCACAACCGGAGAACTCCAGACAGGGCCTCATCCAGCTCTCGGGAAGAGAAACTGAGGCCCAGAGACAGAATTGCCCAGAGTCACACACAACTGGGGAGTCCCCAGACTCCTCGTCCTTTTGTGGCTAAAGGCACCAAACTGAGCCCACCTGTCCTAAAATAGAACAGAGACAAACATTTTTTTTTTTTTTAACAGCAGGAAAATTACCCAATGGGTGGTATTTTCTCAGTTTCTTTCAGCTTTCTCTCGTAAGCTTTTCAACCATTTTTGCTCAGACCACTGGATTCATTTTTAATATTTTATGTGCTTACTAGGCTTATGTTATTTGTTTTCCTGCTGAAATAGTTTCTCAAAAAACCTGTATGAGTCACTCACTGTTTTGAGAGGCGGAGACCTGCCTACTAAAGCATAGTCACATTTTCTAATGGAAATGCTGCCCCATGTTCTGCTGGTAGAGTTAAAGTACCAGTATTTCGTGGTATTTCTCAGAGAACACCGTGACTTCTGGGAACTCTGCTACCTGGTCTAGCTGAGCAATAATGGGAGGCCCCAGGTAAACGTTCTTCCTCGTGCAGGCGCTGTGTGAGTGAGTGTCGCCGGGCTGGGAGGGCCTCGGCTACAGTGGCACTCCCGGTAGGGAGAGAGGGCATGGAAATCTCTGGACTCACAGGGGCTCCTTGACTTATGCGTCCCGGGGCTTGGTGAGGACCCCAGAGCTCTGTGAGGGCAGGTGTCCTTATTCTCTGCAGCCCAGGACCCAGCACACAGTAGGTGCTTCATAAGTGCTCACTGAACTGTTTGATGAATGGCGGTCAGTCTCTGTTACCTGGCAAAGTTGAGCCAAAGCTTTAAGCTGCAGACAGAGGTGGAGAACTGGTTAGGAAGAGGGGAGTGTGGGGGCTTTGAGTCAGGAAATGTTGGTGGTCAGCATCCGTGTGTGTCTTTGTGTGTCCTGAGTGTGAACCAGTGACTGGGGACAGCTTGGGAGACCAGGAAGGTGGGTCCAGGCTGGAGGAGAAGCAGTCAGCAGAGGCACAAGCCCATCTGGCCAACAGGCCCCAGAGCTAGGGTACCTCCTCTCTCCAGTCCTGGGATTCAGGGGCCAGGAAACTGGGATGTTGTCATACCTGGGGATCTGCATTTCGTGTTGACTTCCTGGACTTCATTACATAATCTTGACTGACGTGACTGTTCTGCTGGGCTGGCCCCCTGGGGCAGGTGTGTAAAAGCCCTAGGAAGCCAAGTTTTTGGAGCCAGGCTGCATGGGTCCTGAGCCCAGCTGTGCATCTGTGTGACCTTGAGAAGGTGACTTTGTCTTTATGCCTCGTTTTCCTCATCTCTAAAATGGGACAATATGAGACAGTCTGCCCTGTTTGAAAAAAAAATAAAAATAAAAATAAAATGGGACAATAGTGATTTCTACCTCATGGGGTGGTTGTGAGGATCAGTGAGTTAATGCTGAGAAGCACTCATCGCAGCCAGGCGCGTGAGCATGGGCTGTCACTGTCTCTCTTGTGCCCTTAAGCACTCGCCTGCCCTGCCAGGGCACCAGCCTTTGCCACAGTGCTCACGGTTTCCCTTCCATCCACGTCAGGTCTTGGCCAACAAGAGCCACCTTTGGGTGGAGGAGGAAGTCTGGAGGATGGAGATATACCTCTCCGTGGGAGTGCTGGCCCTCGGCACGCTGTCCCTGCTGGCTGTGACCTCGCTGCCATCCATCGCAAACTCGCTCAACTGGAGGGAGTTCAGCTTCGTTCAGGTAAAGTAGGCCTCCCCTGGCTAGCGAGCCTCAGCCTGGCCCAAGCCCACCTCCCACAAGCAAGCACCTGCCCCTCCGAGAACTGCCTCGGCTTCGATCACCTGTACAGCAAGACCACTCTGCCACACTCGGGGCCTGCCTAACCTGGAGGGCCCGTCCGAGCCTCCTGAGAATGGGCTTCCTGGGACAAGCTTATTCTCCAGACATCTGGGGAAGCCAGATACAGGCATGTGAAAAAATTAGAAACCAGAACACTGGACCCTAGGTCAAGCAGTCTCAGCTTCTACAATTCTTAAGCTTCCCAAACAAAATTCCATGGCATGCAGTCACCGGACATTTTACTGGTCTAGGTAGGAGCCAGTGAGCTGGTGAGTGGGCCTAGCCGCCACCTTGCACGCCTGTCTCTACCCACCTCCATTGTTCCTCTTCACCCCGTGATTCTTGCAGAGCTGATGGGAGGTAACCATTAGGGTCACCAGTTTATAGGGGATGAGACATAGCTTTTCCCAAAGGACACCGTTCCTATGAAAAATCCGGAGAAAAGGAGATCTATAGTCAAATGAATCTGAGAAAGATTTGATTCCCCTAAGAGATTCACAATGCCTCTCAGCACATCAGAGTCTAGTGATGTCTACAGCAAACCATCCTTTGTTAACCAGACTGATTTGAGCATTAGCACCCTCCCCTCCTCTTTTCCAAAATAACAGCTATCAACACTCCATGACACTCTCACAAATGCTGCTAGTGGCATAAGGTTCTTATGCATGTGTTCATTCATCAAATGTTTTTTGAGCACTTACTGCATGCCAGGCAGTGCACTAGGCCTGGGATGCAGTAGGGAACAAGACAGGCAGAGCCACCTTTCAACGATAACAACAACTGAGATGGAGACATTCTTTACATTTCTTTGGCATCTCCCACTATTCTCCACACAGAATACGTGGTCAGTGTTGGCGGATTAACTCACCCCTCCCCGGGGTAGGAGCTGACTAATGCTGGATCCTGCCATTGTGTTGCATCAGGGCAGAGAACAGCGAGCGTATCCACCCCCACTAGCAACAAAAATCTGTCAAGTATCTTCTCTGTGCAGCGAGGACACGGTACAGGACTGAGGGACAGTGACAGTGTAATGCTCTTACATAATCCAGTTGAATTGTCCCTGATTGGGGATGTTTTATGTCCCTTAGAACAAAGCAGAGTTGTGGATGTGTGTTTTCTAAAGTGTGTCTGTTTCCGAATCTCCCTGGCTCTGCTCATCTCAGAAGGTCCCTGGAGGAGCACTCAGGGCTGACACATACGAGCATAAGAGCAGGGGAGGAATTTTATTTATCTGCCACTAATCCCCATGTGTCTCACACCCAAATCTAGGATTTTCCTGTTCCCACCTGGAGTTTCCCGGGCGCATGGTTTATCCGCAATTAAAGCAGAGCGCAGGCTGCTCCCCTCAGCAGAGAGTGCCCCTGTAAGCAGCCGCCGCAGATTACATGCCCTGGCTCTGGCTGCCGGGGAAAGCCGGCGGATTTGATTTTGTTAGCAAAAGCTGACTGCGGCTCCAAAAGCTGCGTTCTACTTTACATATTAAAGAGTCAAAACACAAATAGGACAGTCCTTTTGCCACTGCGAGAGAGCGGGGGCTTGGATG